GGTACCTGATTGCTGATGCCTTCTCGTCCAATCTGGCCAGCATTGGTGTCCCTCATCTTCTGTAGCATACCTACCATACCTGTTTGCAGAGTTTCCAGCTGCTGATGAAATTTTTATGAGCTGCATATTAGCAGCTCATAAAAATGAGCTGCTGATATGCGCTCATTTTTACTGCTTCATGTGAGTTGCCACTTTGCTTTTATTCATTAAAGTTTTTGTGTATTACCACATTTATATTCTTTGTGTGACTTACCTTATTAATGTTTGTGTTCCTAAATTCTGTTGCTCTGTCCACCTTTAAGTCTTTAAGCTCCAGGCTGTGGGCAGCACCATTATACACAATGCTGGGCTATTAACCCTGCATTGTACATTAGGAGGCGAGCATGCAACCATGGCCAGAAACTGCTTAGAGTGGACTGTGGGGGACCAGTCACATGGATGCAGGAAGCCTAATGGAACCAGAAATAAGGTAAGTACACCTTATCCCTTCATCCCATGACTAAATGAGCATTTAACCCTTGTGGTGCAAGGAGGCCGCGACATAATGGTACATTTTGTCTCATTCCCTGGGCTGCCAGAAGCTAGCCCAGCCTTTCTCAACCTTTTCATCACAGAGGAACCCTTGAAACTACTCTTTGGTCTTGGGGAACCCCTGCTAAAAATTGCTGTATCTACAGCTCCTGATACATTGGTGTGATGGTCAGTGGGAAGAATGTTCCTTACACTTGTGGTCATTGAGAAGAATTACCCTCTTACAGATAGCTAAAAATATCAATGGTGTCAGTGGGAACTTATCTGAGAGGCAGATATTGCTCATTGCTCAAAGAACCCCTAGCAACCTCTGGAGGAACCCTAATTGAGAATCTCTGAGCTAATCACACGCTCTACTGTCCACAACCACTTCTGAACTAAAAGTGAACTGGCCAGCCATATGTTTGTGGTACACGGCTAGTCTTAGTTTGATAGCTTTTTAAACAGAAACGAATTCAGGCTGTAAAATTCCCAGTTAAATGAGGTGAAGCAGGTTTCTTCTGTTCTGAATCAATTCTTCAATTTTTCATGTTTTCAGGATTCAAGCTGCTCTCATCATTTTAAGTATTTATGTCAGTTCTTTAAGTATGTACCATGGTTTCCATCCAAAGAACATCCTGTATTATCTTCTAACATGAGGCTATGTATGAATGGATCAGTGCGGGGTTATATATTGCTGTCCTATCTGCCATTGCACTCAGTCATTACCTATGGGCTCTGTCCACTATTGACTGGACTTTATATCAATAGGAGAGGCATGTAAAAAAAGTGGACCAAAATCACACACTGATGTGATGTTTGGTCCAAATACTTTTACAGTAATTTGTAAACTATATTGGCTATTAATATAGTATAGCGGTTTCCCATTTCCTAATCTTTAGACTCAGCCCACAGAGTTCTAGAGACTTCTTCAAGTCTCTAGATCGGGGGGGGGGGGAGGTATCAGTGAGCTGATCTGCAGAGCCTTTCAGCCCTGACCCAATTTTGACTACTTTGGCTATTTCTCCCGCTGCTATTCAGCCTCCTAACTAAAAAAATGATTAACTAGCTCCCCCTAGCTAACTAGGAGGGTGCTACATTTATAAACCATTCATTGGACAAATGTCACAGGCATTTGTCTAGACGGCATGAATTTTCCTAATTTTTTTAAATATATATGACTTCTTGTGATTGTCAGCTCCATCTAGAGGCCAATATGTGGCATATTTTCTGAAATGCCTCACTTACAAAAAAAAATAGAGCATGTTAACTACTAGAGGCATGTGCTGATCATAGGAAGTCAAAGTATTAGAGGAAATGTTGATTTCAGTAGGAGGGAAACAAAATTCTCTGGCATCGGTTGTCATTGTGCCGCAGGTGGATGGGGTGGCACTGTGCTACAGGCAGGCTGGGTGGCACTGTTTTGCAGATGGTTGGGGTGGCACTGTGTTACAGGTGGCTGAAGTTGCACTGTGCTGCAGGTGGCCTGGTTGCCACTGTGTTATAGGTGGCCGTGGATGGCAGTGTGCTGCATGTGGGTGGGATGGCACTGAGGTGCACTAGGGTGCAGGTGGCTGGGGCGGCACTGTGCTGCAGGTGGCTGTGTGGTACTGTGATGATGGCTGTATGGGTGGCATAGTCTGTAGATCAACTGGGTTACACTGTGCTGCATGTGGCTGGAGTGACACTGTGCTGCAGGTGGTAGGAGTGACACTGTGCTGCAGGTGGCAGGGGTGGCACTGTGCTGCAGGTGGCAAAAGTGGCATTGTGCTGCAGGTGGCTGGAGTGACACTTTGCTACAGGTGGCAGGGGTGGCACTGTGCTACAGGTGGCAGGGGTGGCACTGTGCTATAGGAGGCAGCCCTCCACACTCCTGTAGAGCCACCTGAATTACTTTTACTGAACAGCCAACCAATGGCACCAAGCTCATGACTACAGCTGCAGCCAGGAGCTTGTTTTAACCAAGTGAAGTCCAAGACATTTAAGGATGGCAAGTGGTTAATGTAAAGCATGGCTTAATTAGCTGTCAGGTACTGTTGAGTGAAGAACACCTTCATCGGGGTCATTGGATGCCAGTGATTGAATACATTTTTATATTTGCAGATGCCCTTTAACTAAATGACAAGAAACATTGAGTTGAGTTGTGCTAACTGCAAGCTCAGCAAAGCTCAGATCTCTCCCATAACAGCGTGTATTGTAAATTACTTTTGTTCTTGACCTACAAACCCAAATTCTGTCTTCATACAACATTAATAAAACACATGTGTAGGTGTACATAGGGCCCTACAGTGAAGAATTACAGCAAGGGGGGCTGGAAACCTAATTCCAATACTCAGGCTCACACTCCATGGCCAAGAAGGCCTTGCCAGGGGGCTATCAAAACTGAGTTGTAGAGGGCCCCATCCTCTAGTTATAGGTCAGATCCCTTGGGCGTTGCACAAAATACCCAACCCAACTAACACCAGAGTTGTGGGGTACAAGATGAATATAAGAGACCTGTCACCTCCACAAACATGGCCGACCCTACTTTTCCCCACCATCACCAGTCCCCTGACCAAACCAGTCTTTGCTGTAACTTATTGCTGGTTCCTCAGTTACAGGCCACCATACACCATTGGATTAAAGAGATCACTCACTTCTGTCTGGAACCTATGCAACGCTCAGTTCAGGGTCTATGATCTTTAACAATCCAACACAGCATGGTTCAGAGTCCTTTACACTGGTCAGGTTCAGTCCATTCTGCCCACATATCGATATTATTTCACAAGAGTGCTCCAGATTCCTGGTATAACCCACTAGGGGGAAAAGAACGTACATCACTCCCCAAAAGAGAAAGCCAGACTGTGGAAAGTCTACATCTACAGTTCAATGCAAGCCTTAAGTCTCTTGAGAGGAAAGGTTAGTGTTCTTATTCCCTCACAGATTTCTCACCTCCAACTCTCCTGACTACTTTTACCTACAACTAGGAGGATGACAGAGACCCTTAGAGGGCAAAAGCTAAATTACACCCCTAGCCCAACCAACATTAGCAGTAGCAGTATCCCGTATCTCGATATAGGGTAACATGGTTGGCAGATGGGGGGGGGGGGGTAGTAGTAGATCACCTATGCACCACATTCCACCAGTAGACCAGAGGCCTGAAAGCAGATTCCATTGAGTCCCTGGAGGGCTCATGGTCCATCACCAGCTGCTGCATATCTGTCTGCCTGACCACGGCTTGTGAAAAATGGCTGGTCAAGCTCACAAAGGTTTTTAGAGTGCCCATTTCTCATTATCATCATGGGATAACATAGCTGGAATTCTGCCTTAAGAACTACAGGTACCACTGCTATCCAGTTGGTGTGCCAGATATCATGTTCTCAGCTTATGTTGGAGGACATACAGGCTTGCATCAGCATGACCTTTGGCCATGCATTCTCACGTATACCCCTTTAGCTTTGACAGTAGCACCTTGCTTGGGGGGTTGTTTCGTTTTTTAAATGACATGTCACATGACTGGGACACTTCGATACCATGTTCCTAGCTGTTCACATGCCTGGAGCGGGTGTCTATATAATGTTTGTTCTACAGTCCAGCTCTTCTGGTGTTCTGTACTCGAGCAGAGAAGAAAAGACTGACAGTACTGCACTATTATATTGTTACTGTACCTTTCAGAGAGATTTTCTGTTACTTCCTGTTATGTCAGATTGACAGGAAATGAGGGGAAATAGCAGCAAGATAGACAAGAAACTTTGTTATGCTCTTTTCAATCTGCGTGCATGATGACATCACCGCCACAAGCTCCACCCGGCACGTTTCATCAGACGGTGACGTTATCACGCATGCAGATGGTGATTGGACAGGAATCAATCTCTGACCCACAGCCAGCCATACAAATGCCACTCTTGAGTATCTTGTGTGGTTTGACAAGCCTGTTGATGCCTTTTAGCATGTGAGTTCTTAGTTTTTAATAAATTATGCCTTGCGGTTTTACACTATGGAAGGTTTTTTTTTTTTGTATTTTACCTTTGAGTGATTTGGGAGCCAAATTTCCACCTTGCACACCAGCCAGAGGAGTTGTCGCCTTTAGATGCAATAATCTACTCCATTTAAGCACTGTTTGACCCATTTTTTTCAAGCAGGGGTCATTGCGTTCTAATAAGCTTTAGTACCTTAGCTTTTATGCCCCTTGAGGGTTAGGGACTGATGTGAATGTACTATATATATACTGTATGTAAAGTGCTGTGTAAATTGATGGCGCTATATAAGTACCTGTAACAAGTAAAAATAAATAAATAGTGTGTCTCTTTGGAGTGTAGGATTTCCTCCATCACTAGACGGAGTTTCAAGCCATCATTTTGAACTTCTCTGTAGCACTATTGGTGTGTGTTTTGTTTCATTAAGAAGATTTATCTTTTCGAGCACTTGAGCTCTGTATTATTGAATTTTTTGAGGTTTGCAGATTCTTTATTATGAAATCTTATATTTTATGTTTTTCTGATCTCTTCTAGACTGTGGGAATGTGCAGGCTGGAGGACACGAAGAAGGGGAGGCAGAGGCTGGGTGGATTGAGGGGCCGCCATTTTATTGTCTGTCATTTGTGTGGTGTGGGTGACGGCCTTCAATGACTGGAGTAAGGAGAAGCAGTTTCGCGGGCTGCAGAGTCGCATTGAGCAAGAGCAAAGATTCTCCGTCATCAGAAATGGACAAGTCATACAGATCCCAGTGGCTGAGCTCGTCGTGGGAGACATCGCCCAAATAAAATATGGTGAGATGGGAACTTCTTCAGGACTTTTTATAACAGTATATGTATTAATATTGATGTTATATCTTAAAGAATATACATTAACTTCTTGCTCAGTGAATAATCGAGAATGGTGCAGATAGGGAGACAGGCAAGCTACAACATAATCATACATGTAAATGGGCTGTGGGGTTTCATGGGTCCAAAAAGTCCATAGGTCCAAAGACATTCGTGGCAGCTCCTCAATGAGACTGAAATCTCTGCAAAATATTATGGAAACAGCAGAAGACGCCAACTAAGTGCAGTATATAGGAAAAGACTTTATTAAAAGTAGCAACTCACAAGATGCATAATGATAAGAGCATGTAATCCACCTAGTGCAGTTTGCTATTGGGCCTCAGTGTGTCTTCAGGGGCCAGGAAGCAGATGCCACTGTCAGGAGCTGTGTAGGACACAAGAAACAAAACCAGAAATCCTGGAGCCACCCAGAATTTCTAGTTTTTCTTCTGGGGTCCTGCACAGCTCCTGACAGTGGCATCTGCTTCCTGACCCACTGAGACTCAACAGCCAACCACACTGGGTGGATTACATGCTCTTATCCTTATGCAGCTCATGAGTTGCCACTTGTGATGTTTAACAAAGGCTTTTCCTATATACTGCACTTAGTTGGAGCCCTTTGCTGCTGCCTTTATTAACCGCTTGCAGTACACACACAGTAGCTTTACTGCTACATGACTAGTGCACCCGAGATAGGTTCACCCAGACCCCACTACACCACCGTTACCCTTTACCCTTCCATACCAATCCCCTTTACTTACTATACTTACAGAAAACACAACACCAATTTTGGAGTAAAATGGCCAGCACGGCCTTTTATTAACAAATCAAGTTTAAACACATCAACCATTCCTTATAACAGAAAACATAAAGAGTTGTCGTTGGTCTTTGAAGGCACCCCCAAAACGATCCGAAATGCACCTGCGGACAACCATATTCCACTAGGCCTCCAGCTGCAACAAACCAGCTCGGAGACAACCATACCGTCCGCAGTGCAGCACCACCACCTTCCAGTTAAACCTCGGTTAACTGGGAATGTTCCCGGGCACACCATACCAACGATGGGTCCCACACCATTTTGTACCTCCAAGATAAGAACCGCCTCCAAAGACCAACCACCGCCCAGGAACCAAATTAACCCCCCCCAGGAGGAACACAACATTCACCAAACAGGGCGGGCAGGAGGGAAGCTCTCTCTCCCACGTCCAGCTCCCAACTGACGCCCCTCCCCAGAACACCCCACCCTAAAGTGCAGGAGACCCCACCTACACTCTCCTCTACCAACCAGATCCCCCAGCTATCCTTTACCAACTCTAAACAATCATTAACCCTCACATGTCTTCCTTCCCACTCTGGGCCTAGTCATGCCTGCCCTTCGCTAATTCTTTTCTTCTTTTATCGCTGCGGGCATTTCTGTACAGACCCGCTTCGCTAGATCACATATATATCCTGTACATGCTCCAGCATTTCCCGGTAGGGGGTGTGCACGCTCCCGCTGCCCTGGCTGTGCTGTCATTCCCTACAGCACAAGTCGATCATTGGCTGGGACCCGCTAACTGGCTGAACTAATGACAGAAGACAACACTGTGTTGGTAAACAACACAGGGCTCTCTACAGACAGCAGTGATGTGTTCTCCCTGCAAAAGCAAGGAGTAAAAACAGGCACATCACTTAGTAAAAGCAGCACACACTACACACAGTAAACATTGTTAGGTGCAAAGTTAACCCTTTGATTGCCCCTAGATGTTATCCCCTTCCCAGCCAGTGTAACTAGTACAGTGACAATGTATATTGTTAGCACTGTATTAGTGGCACTGGAGATTGCCGTGCCATTTAGTCAGTTCCCACAAGGTGTCAGTTAGTGTCAGTGTCCCACTATAAGTCGCTGATCACTGCCATTACTAGTATTAAATTTTTTTTTAAATTCCAGTATATATACAGTACCATCATTTGTAGATACTATAACTTTCACGCAAACCAATTAATATACACTTACTGAGAATTTTTTTTTTGGATATGCTTTCTAGCAGAAAGTAAAGCATATTGTTTTTTTTTTTTTTTTCAAAATTGTCAGTCTTTTTTTTACTTTTGTAATAAAAAATAAAAAACCCAGTGGTAATCAAATACCACCAAAAGAAAGCTCTATTTGTTTAAAAAAAATTATATAAATATAATTTGGGTACAGCGCTGCATGATCACGTAATTTCCAGTTAAAATAGAGCAAGGCTGAATAGCAAAAAATGCCCTGGTAATGAAGGGGGTAACATCTACCGGAGCTTACGTGGTTAACTTCTTAACACATACGTGCAAAGGCTAAAGGTTGGGCTTTCACACCCACACACTGCACATATGCGTCAATGGGCGTCCGAGGTTTCGGTATTGAGGATGCACTCATTGAGTGCTCCCTAGCACATGGACTGAAATGTAAAAAACAGCTCTCCGTCCACATGAATGATCAGTAGTTGGCAGGACAGGCTCCCAATCTAGTGACCTCTGTGGCAGCCAAACATAATGGTCACATGATCACTGATCTTTCCCATCCCCAGGTGTACAGACCCTATTAAAGGAATGTTGGGCCTGGGTGGGAAGTGCATGTAAATCCAGCATCTATTTTTTGGTATGTTTGGCAACTCCACTGTTTAGCCCTCATGTACAATGAACGTTTTGATAACGCTGGTCACATTAGCTGTGTAAAGTCACGTTAAAAACTTTTTTCAGCTTTTTTTAGCGTTTTTGCATTTTTAGCGGCATTTTCCCGCGTTTGCAGGGTTTATTTTGGTTAAAAAAACTTCCAAAAATGCCAGTTTGCGCTGTTTTACTGCGTTTTTCAAAACTTCTGCGTTAGAGCGTTTTTACAGCTAAAAAAACTCCTCTAGAAACCCACTAGTTTTGGGTTTCTTTTCCTGCCCAAAAACATCCCTGCCAAAAACATTGATTACAGCCTATGTGTGCATGGACACATAGGATAACATGCTGGGGGGTTTATTGACTGTAAAAGTCAAGTGTGCATGAGGGTTCACAGTTTCCTTCAGCAAGTCAATTTTGGGGAATCTGAAATGGTCTCTGTCACCTTGATTGAAAAAGTGGGCCATTGTGCTCTCATAATGATGGAGAACCTCCTTGGATTTTTTACTGTGCCACTGTAAAGCCATGCACCCATTCTTTACAAGGGTTTCCTAAGGAAATGTGTGGTATGATTTGCGGAAGAGGCTGTTTTCTTGGTAACTTTGTTATTGGACTGTCGTGGGGATGACGGGGGCACCCTGGTCGACCTCGTAGCTAGTCAAAAAAAAAAAACGTAGGATAGGAACATGGGTCCAAGCCAGGGGCGGACTGACCATTTGAAAACTCGGGCACTGCCCCAGGGCCCAGGGTCAGGAGGGGGCCCCATGAGATGCCCCTGGTACCTTTTTTATAGGCTTTTTTGAGTTTGGGCAAGGACACAGGGGCCCCATGATCCCCTATTGCCCAGGGGTCCCATGAGTTTTCAGTCCGCCCCTGGTCCAAGCACGGGGTCAGAACACTCAAGTGAGAGTTCGTATTTGAGAAACGTAATGCTAGGGCTGAGTAGGCTTAAGATGAATGGCTTGATACCAAGTATATTTAGGATTTGTGATTCGGAACCTGAGAAACTTAGGCTATATCAAGTGATGGCTATAAGACTTGTGGCTGCAAAACTATTAACAAGAATAAATGCGCAAACAAATTAAAAATGGCCTGTTTTCTCTTGCATACTTAATTGATAAAAAAAGACAACAGTGGTTAGGTCTCCTGCCAGTGCTTACTTTTTTTTTTTACTGCTGGTGGTTTTTCCAGATAAAGCGGCTGGTAATACATACACTCTAATTTCTCTAACGGAGGAAAAGAAAGTTTTTATCTCCGCTTTTAAAAACTTTGAAATTGTAATAAATCCAAGGAGGTGTTTTGCTCCCTGACACATCCTGCTGTGCGTGGTCTCCCACAACACTGACTCACACGTACTGATGGTTCAACGCTGTGAACAACATTAATATTGCAGGAGAAAATGAACTTCATTCATTTTTTAATATTCTCTGATGTTCCAGGCGACCTGCTGCCCGCAGATGGAGTTCTGATCCAGGGAAACGATCTGAAGATTGATGAAAGCTCGTTGACAGGAGAATCGGATCATGTGCGCAAGTCTGTAGAAAAGGACCCGATGCTGCTTTCTGGTGAGGACATGGACCTTTACATGACACCATAGAACTGAGGAAATTATTTCAGTTTGATCAGCTTTCCTTTAATTCACAATTCTGGTGGCTATTGGTTTGTTTTTTGGAAAATAAATTATATCTAAAACTTTTTTCATTTCAGATAGAGAAAGGAATGGTTAAAACTTATTTTCCTGGTGCCAACATGGCAGCATGCATGCGCTAGTATGCTGCCATGGATTGGTGCCAGGAAAGGAAAGTTACGGTAATTATTTAATACAGTTTTCCATTTCCTGATGCCAACATGGCAGCAAACTAGCACATGTGTGCTGAGGGAAATACCCTTGAACGAAGTGTGCTATTGGAAGTTTCTCCATTTTTCCTGTTCTGGTGACAGCTCAGAATTTTGAATTTTCCATTGCCTTCAGTCCTAGTGACATCGGTCATTAGGACAAATAGAAAGGGTGAATCTCCCCAGCAGTATACAATTCACCCTCCCCCTTGCTGGAGATATTCAGCCATAAAAACTCAACAGGGGCCCTAAGCCCTTGCCACTGTACTAAAAAAAAGTTTTTCCCTTAGACACACTTTAAAGAAGACCTAAACCCACAAAATAAGTTCATATCACCTGCTCCCCTTGCTGCCCTTTTCTCATACATCTAACTAAAAACTGTCAGTTATTACTTTCTGAACCATGTTTTTGAAGAATATTCCATTAACGTATGAAAGTTCTCCATGCACTAGACACCGGCGAACTGGCTCTCTCTTTTTCATTTTAGTGTTGAAATTTTGCATCTAACTGACTTACTATCTAATGTACAAGTGACCATTATCCTCATCTTGTTTGTAACCCTGAGTATGAGCCTCTAAAGCTGGGGGCCAAGATTGGTCATGGAACCGTCTGTATGAGGCAATGGGACTAACTTACCCATTGGCTCCTATATTTAATCCAGTGATCAGATCTTCTATGTGGAATCCCACACTTTGAATTATCACTCCACCTGCTACAGCAAGGGGGGGGGTCTCAGTGGTGCAACTACATAGTTTCATAAAATGGAAAATTCAACAAAGGAAGTGGAATGTGGTGAAACATGGGAAAACTAGACTCTGGCAAATCATTATATCATTCCTTGAACCTTTGGAATGGAGTACAAGGAAGTCATACCTTTGCTTGAGTGCAGGGCCAGGAAGACATAGCTCTCCTGAACTGTAGTCCTAGGAAGACACACCTCTTCTGGACTTCAATGCTATGAAAAAACACCTCTTCCGACTTGCAGTGCCAGGAAGAGACACCTCTTCTGGACTGCAGTGCCAAGAAAAAAACCCCTCTTCTTGACTGCAGTGCCAGGAAGACACACCTCTTCTGGACTGCAGTGCCAGGAAGACACACCTCTTCTGGACTGCCATGGCAGGAAGACACACCTCTTCTGGACTGCCATGCCGTGAAGACAGACCTCTTCTAGACTGCCAGGCCGGGAAGACGCACCTTTTGTGGACTGCCATGCTGGGAAGACACACCTCTTCTGGACTGCTGTGCCAGGAAGAAACACTTCTTCTGGACTGCAATGCTGGGAAGACACACTTCTTCTGGATTGCAATGCAAGGAAGACACAACACTTCTGGATTGCAGTGCCAGGAAGACACACCTCTTGTGGACTGCAGTGCCAGGAAAACACACCTCTTCTTGACTGCTGTGTCAAGAAGACACACTTCTTCTGGACTGCAGTGCCAGGAAAACACCCCTCTTCTGGACTGCTGTGTCAAGAATACACCCCTCTTCTTGACTGCAGTGCCAGGAAAACACCCCCCCTTCTGGACTGCAGTGCCAGGAAGACACACCTATTCTGGACTGCCATGGTGGGAAGACACACCTCTTGTTGATTTCCATGCCATGAAGACATACTTCTGCTAGACTGCCAAGCCAAGAAGACACACCTCTTGTGGACTGCAGTGCCAGGAAAAACACACCTCTTTTTGACTGCTGTGCCAAGAATGATCACGTGGTGGAGAGAACATTTTCACTTGGTGGCATATTTATTAAGAAGACTTTTTCCTGTCACTGGTGGTTTGAGACACTATGGAAACTTGGACTACATCTTTTTAATTTATGGGACATTATGGATTGATTCATGTGTTCATTTAAATTTTTTTATTGGGTAGCGCTGCATTATATTGATTTAAATGGGGACTTATTCATTTATAAAACAGCTTTATTTTCCAGCCATGAATATTTGTAAAATACGATGAGACCCTAGTAGTGAAACATTTGGAGACCCCTGATATACTGTAGAACAGGGGTCTCCAAACTTTCTGAACAAAGGGCCAGTTTACTGTAATTCAGACTTTGAGGAGGGCCTAACTGTGGTCCCTTGGTGTCCATGGGAGTAAAGAATGCCCCACCATTGGTATTAGTGGGAGGAATAGTCCTCCATTGTTGGTATTAGGTGAAAAGCAAAGGGCCACTTTTGACCCCTTAGCCACAGTTTGGAGACCGCTGCTGTGGAACATACCATTATGCTGTTAATTCTTTTGGGAAAGTAGGAGAGAACCTAATGAAAAAAAATCACTTATCCAGAGAAGCCCTAATAAGAGTGGCATGGCTGGATTGTTTTTTGAAAATATAGAGAAGCCCTTAGAGACCCTGAAAGGGTTATTAAACATTGTGAAGAGCCAATATCTTAATGACACAGATAATGGGAACAGATACACCAGAGCAGCAGGTGTCCCCAGTATGAGCCTCCACAACTGGCTCCTGTTAGTCTATTTCTTTTTCCCATCACACAGCCAGTTCATATTAGATATAATTGTATTGCTGGCATTTTGGCAATGCTAGTGATAAGTACTGTGCTTTAATTCACAATGCCAAGACCTGACTTGAACCGTGCAGGACAAGGATAAGGATTCCATGCTGGCCCATGCTGTCTAGTAGTAATAATGATGACTCATGTTCTTGGCAGGTACACATGTCATGGAGGGTTCTGGCAGGATGGTGGTGACAGCTGTTGGTATCAACTCACAAACTGGAATCATTTTCACCTTGCTTGGCGCTGGTGGAGAGGAGGAAGAAAAGAAAGACAAGAAAGGTAAATGAGATAGCACTCACTGTACTGAGTTGATAAATGCCTGTATATAAAAAATAAAATAACTCAATTTAACCATATTTTTAGAGCTGCATGTTTACATAAAACCAGCAACCTACAGGGGGTTTCCACTTTAACAGAATAGTAATCTTTGCCTATTGAGGCTTAAGACCTGGTAGTTCCAGCAGATTAACTTTAAAATGTTAACACATGCCCATTACATCTCCATAGCTTTTAAAGGTTAAAGCCCAACTCCATGAATTAGACAGAATCTACCCCAGAAATGGACCCCCACACACACACACACACACACACTGCAAGGGTTAAATGTTCATTTGTCTATAGGGGAGCTGGAGAGGCTTTGTTACTTGCCATATCCCCACTTAGACCAGTTCTTGTGCTTTCCACCTCTCCCTCTGGTGTTCTGGGCTGTGGGTGGTCCCTCGTCGTCATCTCGTATGATGCAGGGCTGCTACCCCCTACATTGCATGTGGAGGAACCAGGAGTGTGACCACAGCTGGGAGTTGCTGGAGCCACCTTACTGGAGCGAGAAATAAGGTGTTAATTCTTATTTCTGCACCCCTAGACTAAACGGGCAGTTAACTTTTGCAGTGTGGGGGGTAATGCAAGGGTAGATTTTGTCTAGTTACTGGAGTCTGGCTTTAAGTTCACCCAAAACTTGTTTCTTTTGGTGGGTAGTGCTAGGTTCTTTCACCAATCTGCTTCTCAAAATATTTGAAGATCCTTGGGCAATCTCTTCCAGGTTAAACCCTCCTGTGTGGTCATGTCTTCTCTAGTTTAGATGGAGCTGGCATGAGGGAGAATACTCCTCTTGAAATTCTAGTTTTCTGAAATCTATGGGGTGACTGATCCGGTTGCTATCCACCCAAATTTGGGAAGTTAATTTTTAGCAGTGCTACCGATAAAAAGATAGCAGGACCTTGTGAATTGGATTCAAAGGACATTTGTTGAACTTTTAGTGACTTTGTCCTTTAATTTACCACCCAACCCCCTGAGTGCAGTCCAACTGGTACTTACTTTTAAGCCTCAATCCAGCTATTCACTCCATGGCCCTGACTGTTGCTAAAGAGTGCTAACAAAGAAATCCCATGTTTGGCTCATTTTCACACTGCACATGTGCACCATGGCTTCATTTATTCCTATGGTACAGCTGTACTCATGGTGGCTTTAAGCAGTCCTACCGATTGTGGCTTTCTCATAGGGATGGGAATTCAGGTTGCAAGAGAAATGTGAAGAGCCCACCAGAGGTTTTCTTGGAGAAGAAGTGCAGCATGTGGGCAGGGGTGCATAGCAAACACCACTGGATTGGGACTATGTCACAGGGTGGGCTGCGCTCGGGAGGGGGAAGATTATTAAAGGACAACTTTACCTTTGTCAAAGTTGTCCATTAAATTATCAAAAAACCTGACTACTAAACTAGTGCAATGCACAGTAGAGCCTCCTTAACACAGGAGGTATTTGCATATCTCACTTCCATCCTTATTTTAGCATAGACAATGAAACCTTTTTGTCCCAGGGTCAACTTTACATCCAGAGCCAGCAGTTTACCGCTTTAATTTTAAAGAACCATTCCAAAATACACACAGATATTTTGGGATTGTAAGTGGAAAGATTGTCATGTATTTAAAAATGAGGGCTAAAGCCAATATTTTTGAATTTTTGATGGAAGTGTTACACACAGATACCACGTGTATTATTAAAGCTTTGCTGTCCTTAAATGCTAATAAGTTTAGAATTGAATTGTTTCACCCTCTTGCAGGCTTATTTCACATTGAATTCTGTATTAAACAGGTACAAGCTGTCCTTCGATGACCTTAGAATCTAAGGCTTTATGTAATGCCATTTTATGGCGTAATTATCTATATATTGGATTCTAAAGCACTTGAAAGGTTGTTTCATTCTACTTTTTCTTTCCAGATGGAATAAAAAGTCCAGTTTTTTAAATGTTTAATTCATTTGTTAAGAATATTCACAGTCTAAAAGTTATATTCTTTGTTCATTTACTCATTGACATTTCAATCCAGTGTCTGCTGCTGAAAATGAAAATGTAGTCAGCACAGATCCTATGTGATATAAAGTTTGCATTGCAGTAAAAATGTTGTATGTATGAGTTCAGACAATTGTGTAGAAAGAAAAGAAAGCATGCTGTATTGCTTTAAATCAACCCTCTGGGCACGATGAGCAGAGGGTGCATCTTTTCTTTCTATGTCCCTTCAAGAAAACCCTTCCCATAATCCATGCAAGTTGGCTGTTGGGATGACATTGTGCTCCATAGCAGTCCCTGTGATCCTAGTCATAACTATGCAATGTTGTTGAGTTTTGGCATATGTCAAAAGCAGCAAAACCACCAAGGTAATTAAACCCAGTTTACAGGAGAACTCTACACAAACATTTTGGGTGAAGATGGTGGGGAAGACAAGAGGGTACCTGTCATGTATGCTCCAGTTTCTGTGATCCACTATCCTAAAAACCTTGCACTGGGCACTTAATTTTTATAGTTTTCCTTTAACTGATCCTCTCCTGCTTTAGACACTTTATCTTTTAGCTTCCCTTCAACTATCTGCCTTTGATATGTGTAAGACAGAGAACGTAGTAGATGTCTTCAGGAGATCTGCAGGCAGCAGGTTGGAGGAAGCCTAGAAGAAAAAGCCATGGTTGTAGATCATCACAGGATTTTTGGCAAGGGGGGGTATTTATACGTCCACCTCTCACTAAACTCACCAACTTCCTATAGATTAAGGCAGTATCAAGTCCAATGACTGTGTGCAAAGTGCCAAGAGCAGACAGAGTTCCTTCTACTGGACTCGCACTCTTGGGACCTGTGTCAACAGTCTTTGGGTTTGTTTCTATGGGCAAATACAGCATGCTTTTAGCATCAGTGGGGACACTTCTGAGATCTTTCAGAAATCATTGACAGATGCAGTTGACTTGCAGGTGACATTCTTTTGACCTTTTGTAAACTCTTTATTTAACATAAATTATTCCAAATGTAAATGAAGGTCTAAAAAAGAACTTGTATATAATAGAAGGGACGGGTGTCCAGATCTACTTTATGCAAGGGCGATAGCATGGCTCACTGTTGAATTAGCCAATTGACAAGGGGAAAAGAGCAGACAGTGGGTGTGGGAAAGGGTGAATGACAGGGAAATTTAAAGAGGGGGTAGTAGGTTTGAGGGGAAGAGAAAAGCCAAGGGAGGGGTTGTGGTGAGTGGAGAGAGGGGGATCAAGCTCCTTTTGCATTTCCATAGACTTGTATGGAGAGAGAGTCATATCTGACACAAACAAAAGCCCTTTGACACATACCCTTAAATTGTGATTGTATGCTATTGCCTAATGCACCTTACGCTTAGTCTTTGAACTTTGTTCTTCCTGTGGCTAAAATTAATATAAAAAAAGAACAAAAAGCTCCCTGCAAAGAAGGGTGTTTATACTTACCTCTCCCATTGCTTGTCCATTAATCTATCCTGTATTGCATAGCTGCCTGCCTTTGCTTGAAGAACCTTCAGAATCTGATATGTCAAAAAAGTGTTTAATTTCTGGTCTGCGGCTTAGCAATGTGTTTGCATCCTTCAGATCTTACGATACTACAGGACACAGTAGTTACATAAGAGGTGGAAGAAAAACGGAGCCCAGCAAGGTACCAGGCACTCAACACCCCTAGAAGTGTGTTGGTGCTAAAGATCCCTTAGCAGCAGCCATTCAATAAAAGCAATCACAGTACGAAGCGGGGGGACCATTAATCCAATACTCCTGGAGGTATTGGATTCTGAAGGTTCTTTAAGCAATGACAGCTATGCACTAGAGGGCAGATGTGCAGGCAATGGGAGAGGTAAGTATGAACACTCTTCTTTGCAGGGGACCCTTTTTTATTCTGTCGACAAAGCCCAAAATATCTCAGTGGATTTCTTCAATACTTTTTGTCTATGAAAGCCATAGGAGTAATAATTACTTGTCATTTTAATCAGCATGTTGAATTTATCATAATTAAGAACTCCAGGAAAATATAGATATAAAATCATTAAAAATGATGCCTTATTATTTCATTAGCTGTGTTACGTATAATTACTATAGCCATTCTTTGTGTCAAATGTCAACTCCAAACCAAAAAAAAAAATTTTCATATGTCCAGTTGCTGGCAAGTTTAAGTACAAGCTGGCTACTTATATCTCTCCAAGGGCTCTGCAGGTGAAATATGCCCAGCAGAATTAGTATTCCTGGTTCTGCTTAAGAGCAACAGCCATTACAAAGTGGATGGTGAGAAAATCCTCTAGCGCAGGGGTTCTCAACCTTGTTAAGACCAGGGCCCAGTAAATTCTTCCAAAACCTTCCCAACAGTAATAAAAAAAAGTTTATACTCAGACAATAAAAGTATGGGAATGGAAAATGCTGTATGTATTGAAATCCTGGAAGGCTCTGGATGGGCTGGGTGTTACTCTGGGGGATTCTGCAGGGCCTTAGGGGACTCTGTAGAAGATGTTGCTGTCCTGTAGGGAATGGCGCTTCTGGAGGGGGCCTGGGTAGCTGTGTTGGGGATGAATTCTCTGGTGGGGTTCTCCACTGGAGATTGGGGAATTCACAGGAGCGCTGTGGGAGATTGTAGGGTGCTGCAGTTGCTTGGGGGCGGAGCAGTGTGGGACACTAGGGGCACTATGGGGGCCTAAAGGTTTTCTAGTAGTTTTGGGGGGGGTACTGCAGGAAACTGGAGGGACCTGTGGAAGGTTGGAGAGCACTGTGAAGGCTGAATGGCACTGTGATTCACTGCAGAAGATTGGGAGGCACTGTGGGAGGTTAGGGGATCTACAACCCACCAGAAAAAAGACTGCAGCCCAACAGCGGGCCACAGACTAGTGACAACCACTGCTTTAGTGGATTTAGAAACAAATAAATAGGGAAACTAATGGGGAGAGAGAGCACCACCCTAAACATACCCTTGTGGAATTGGCAGAGGAACAAATTATTTAGGGATATCCCACCTAAAATGT